GGAACCCAGCCAGCAGAGAGAAGTGAGTTGAATGATAACAGGCCTGTGCACAGAGTTTAGTGAAAGTGACAACAGGAAATGAAAAGAGGTGAGGGTTCTAGCAGGATTTTGCAGTTGGGTTAAGATAAGTGATCGTGAGTATTTTGGGGAAGACCAGTTTGGTAGGATTGAGGATAGTAAGAAGCAGCCAGGAGTACATATGGAGCCTGGTAGGGAAAGATGGGTTTTGTATATGCAGTGTGAATATGGAGCTTTGCAGAGAAGTCTGCTTAGAGAGAGCTGGATGAACCCATCACCTACCTACTCTGTAGCTCTAAGTTCCCCCTAACCAGCTTGGATTTGAGTGGGGTTTTATGTTTTTGTTTTTGTTGTTTTTGTTTTTTGTTTTTGTTTGAGGAGTCTGGCCTTCAAAAAGGGGGCATGGGGTTAGTATGCTATTCATTGTTCTTAGCAAGGCCCTAGTGTCTGGAGAGAAGAGCACTGCTTGCCAAGCTCGCAGGAGCTGAAATATGCGGACTACACTCTGCATGCACATTCTCTCTTTGGCAATCTGCTTCTCCAGGTTTCATTTTCAATTTCCAGCCTTAGGAGGCAGTGTGAAAAACTAAGTTGACTTTTATTTTATTATGCTACATCCTGTGAGTTTGAAGTTGTTCCACTTTGCATATATTAGAGGACTTGAGAGACCTCAGTTGCAGAATACCCAAAAGTCTACTAGCTAGTGTTCTCTTCTGGGTTGTAAGCCACCCTGGTCAAAGTTTCCTGCTCCAAAATGAGTAAGGTTTGGAATTTGAAACCCCCTTTCATAGTTCCCTAACAATAGCCATGAAGGGAAGCAGAGAAGAACAAGTGGTGCCTGGGCATTCCAGTGCGTATCGGTACTGGATGGCTCCTTTTTTATTAGTTTTGAATTTGCTAACTTTTCATCTCATTGAATGACATTTGATTTTTGTGTTATGAAGCAGCAAAACAAACTCCTGCTATGCTTTCTCTTTTTTATCAGGGTAGGCAACCCCCAGCACGGGTGCCAGAGTGGTACTCAAAGG